GGAGACGACAAAGACTGGACTGTGTGCTGCTGATTGAAGTAGCTGTGTGATGAGTGGATCCCGAAACCGAAGCGACCTGTTTAAGCGAGGGTGACACGGAGGTGGTCGTGACTGTGACGTTGGCGAGACTAGTCTCCAGTGGACTATGTGAGACTATAACAGAATATCCGGGGGTCGCCATGCGAAGATCAGCAGAACTCATACCGGATATTTCCTCCGGAGATATGGGGAAAGTGGTTGGACAGCTTGTGTTTGAATTAACAATCCGATCAGGAGTCTGTAAACCCAATGTGTGGTCTGATTGATGGCTCAAGCGGTCGTCCGACTGAGCTGAAGGAACTGGTGTACAGAAAATAGAAAGTTCCGATAAGAACTCTGAACCCATGAATATTCCAAACTAACGTGGACAGAAGGGAATGAAAAAGATCAAAACTGTCATAAATAAATACACAAATAATTTACACGTTGATAAGCAACCAGTTTCATTTATTGGATATAAAACTTCATAGTGGGGAATGTCAAAATAGCATTTCAAATACCTTTCAGTGAAACGGATTCTGTGGACCATGCACAGTCAGGATGAGGATCCGCTATGTGTCCAACTGGTCTGATGCTTCGAGTACTGTCAGCTTGCGTACCAAATGAATCCGTGAGATGCCGTGCCGGACTCGCTGAGAATAAAGAGGTAGATGAAATAGACCGACCGTCACCATCCGAAAGATCTTCACGTGCCACATGATTTCCGACTGTTAGATATGACGAAGATCGTAGAGTTGGCAGGTTTTCACTTGAAGTGCTCTCTGAGCCGTTCGGAACTGTATTCGTGGACGTAGGAAAGTCCTGAAGAAGTAGTTGAGTGAGTGAAGTGAATGGAGGACTGGTTAGACCATCTGATCGATCACGAGTACTAGTGACACGAGAATGATCATTATCCAAACGAGAGACATGTCTTGTTCTTGTGGAGTTCGTAGTAGTGGTGGTCGTGTGTCCACTGAACACAGAAAGTGTACTTGCAAGGCTAATACCTCCCGAAGTAGCGCCGGTATTGAGCAATGGTGTGGGCGGGCCACTCCGACGGCGTTTCGCCCGACTCGTGGATGAAACCGTAGAAGAACTACGGGGATCTGACGTGTTGAGCACGGTGGAATTGAGCGAAGCGGACTGGCAAAATGGGATTGAGGCAGACGAGTTGTTAGACGAAATGTCCAATGAACGAGGGCCAGAAAGCAAATGTGCTTGGTACACAGGATTCGGTGGCGTGGCCAGGGTATTGTCCGACAGACGCCTGGGGGCCGGATCAAGACGTACCAGGGAAACATCTGGTGACGTTGGTTCTGACCCGATCTGTGGTGTAACAGAAAAAATTTCATGTAGAGGAATGAGAACCACGGCCACCGGACAGTACAGCCCAAGTATCTTCCTACAAACCCAAAGCACAATCCCACCGTTAATTAACAGATTGATCGTCGGCACAGAATGTTTATGGGCGTAAACGAAACAGAACCATATGAACAAGAGGAATTTTTGTTAATATGTACATCAATTATTTGACTAAAACAGACAGTGATCATTTAAATTGCACAAACTGAGTTCAGTAAGAGGTGTGAACGCCGTAATCTAAGGATATACCGTACTTGTGACGTTGTTTAAATTTTTTTGGATTAGCATTTAAAATTCGATTGTATTAAATGACTGAAGGCCTTTTTTCTTTTTATTGAATATACAAAGATACCATTGTCAGGAAGAGGGAAGCGGTCTGTCAAAGGGCTGCCATTCAACACAATGGGGAAAGTCATGCGGTGGTGGTGGGATTCGAACACATCTCCGGGGTGATAATTTGGTGACGTTACCACCGCCCTTGCAAGAGGGTCGGAAGGCGCTCACCAAAAATACTTGTTTTGCTTGCGCAAATGTTTTGAGTATTATTGAGAAACCGATCTGAATTACAAAATATGAGCACGATGCTCAAGTTTTTCAGGACGGTCCATTCCATCTATCCACCAGAAATTCATAAAGCAAAACGGGATTCAAAGCTTAGACGTATACAGTCGTGTGTTAAACTAAACGGGAAAAAACAACAGCAAATGCACGATGTTTAAATCGTATTGAAATCTCCTAGCAGGGTTTCGGATTAATCAACCATAGCTCCTTTTTGACCAGGTTTAGGAACATGGACATTTATTTCATGAGGCTCATTGTGCTGTATTAACCAAAAACGGTTTTTGACCCAATAAAAGTCATGGTTATTAGGCGTAATTGGTTTCTCCTCGACTGCAATCAATGTTTCTCCTCCGATAGGTGAACGCACATGCATTAGTAGAACCAAGTTCACGCTTACAGTGATTTTGAATTGGTAATCAGGTGAAAAGTAGCAATGTTGCTTGTCAGGACAGAAGATAAACATCATCAAACAAGGTGAACGAATAGCTACTGAATAAATACACAAATGAAGGACAAGCGCAAAATATTCGCTTAAACCGTGGTGTGGCAGGTTAACATATCTTAAAGATTATGCGGTTTACTGCTTTGTTGTACACCATGCTTGTCACGGTATACACGACCATGATCATCGTTGCACAGAGAAACTGAATGAGGTAAGCCTCACTCATCGATGCTAAAGTAAACGTGAATATATGAGATAGATGAGAAGAAAACGGAGTGGCCCATTATAACCAACATAACCTGACCATTCAGTTATTCACCGGCAATTAATTGCAAGATATTTTTCAGCTCAACCTGCTATAACAATACATGCTATACTTCATCTCAACAATAATGTCGAACTCGAATTGGCTATTACCGAAGCAGATTGATTCAACTAATGAAAAAGTACGGAATTAGAGGTGAATTCCGTTCATGGAGTCAATCAGAGCAGCGGAATTTGGCAGAGCTATGGCCATCGCCTATCTGTCCGAGGCAGATTTCAACCTTGATTGGACCGTCCAGTTTCATTGTCCAATTCAGAGACGAGGATCTTAGGACCAGATGAAGTGCAACAACTGTCCAGCTGTGAAGCGATTTGTCAACACGGGGAAGCCTGATTGTGGTGGAAAGACAAACTCTGCAATAATGCATCTACGTGTTCGGTACAGAGTAATAGTAGCCAAACACTATGGATTAGGTCCAGCAAAACGCGTACCCCAATAGCTGTTTTCAATGTACACTATTTGTTTGAAAAACTCCTGTTTGAAAATGTTAAGGGCACGCAGCTCATTACATGTTTGGTATAGAGACCGTAAACAGTGGATTATTGCGTCGGGTCCACGAGACAACCCCAATTGCCTTTACTAAAAATCCTAGAAAAAGTGGCTATATTTTGCACCGTTTCTCACTTGTAACAAATCCAATTCCTTTCAAAATCGAAGATTAGCTTAACTGAGAGATAGCAATCAAATTTGCAGCAACCAAAGAGAAGATTGGGAATTGTGATTAAGCGGTGTTTGTAAACGCTGACGATTAAACGATGGAGCTAATGCAGATAGTTACGATGGTTCTGATGTATAGTCAGTTGAATAACATGCAAATGAATGCAAGTATTTGATTCGAGATTTTATAAAGAAATGTGTCTCAAATGTGACTCAAGTTCCGTTTCTGAGTGAAATTGTGAATTGGTGCTAGAGACTGGACCTTATTCTGAACGAAAGGTGGAACAATTAGATTTACGAGCTACAACTGCTTCCATTTGATCAGAGAGAAAATGATGATGAAAGCAGTGTTGCGGGAGTTGTGGTTACAAAGAAACTAAGTGCACTATCAATCATCTGAACACAAAACAATTATTTCATGATTCTTGATGACGGCGGCGAGTTTGTTGTGTATCAGACATGGTAGGATGTTTGGGCGCAAGATTTTTGCTGACATCAAGTGTAAAGAGCTTGTCAGATCGAACGGTGATATATCCTCGTTTCTCGCTACAAGTAGTGCAGATCTGGTGGAGGATCATCTTGCAATCTGGCCAACTTTTATTCTGACAGACATTTCACTTAAAAACAATCCAGTTTTTCTCCGTCGCAAATAAAGTGGCAGCTCAATTCGTTGGGCTAGTTATCCAAAGATGATGGAGTACATGTAGTGAACGGAAGTTACCATGAGCGATATAAGAAGCACGTTTTAACCCCACCACCTTACTTCGCGATTAAAAGAAATGTAACTTGATAGCCATTGCTTGGTTGTGAAAACCTATTTAAAATCGATAGGAAATTTCAGATTCGCTTGATAGATGTATGTAAAAATAATATTATGATTACAAAACTGCAATTCAAGAGCTTGAAGTTAGTTGGTTGGTAGGATCCATGATCCGGTTGGGAACGTCAAAGACGCCACAGCAACAATATATATGTATATATATTCGTCACAATAACCTTGTTTGCAATACCGGGTAACCATTAGATGCAAACAAGGTTATTGTGACAAAAATACACTTCCTGGGTACAAGTATATGAATGAACTGACAAAAGATTACCGGATACCCATGCCTGACGAGCGGCAAAAACCGCGAAACCGGTCGTGTGCTTCCAGGGAAATTTTGCCCAGTCATTCACATACTACTTATTATGATATATATATACCATTTGAGCATAATAAGAGACCAACAAGACTGCTCTTTTGCAAGTATCATCCATGAGAAGGTGAATCGTGGTTTTGGTAGACGGTGGGGAGCATGACAACGCTAACTCATACTATACTACTATAGAATTTAAGGACGTACTTGTGAAACCGGTCGTCATCGAAGATTTTGTTCGACAACAGAATTCCATTGACCCAATAAGAACAAGGAAAGGTGAACGGTAGAGCAACAAATTAAACAAGGCACGAACCCACGCGCGATCGATCTAAATCTGCCAGCCACCTACTGTTATAACACGGTATGGGTGTGCGCGTTTCTGACAACCTAGTTCAACATCAATGAATATTAGGAGGTGAGTGAATAGTACTGAGATGGCGATAACTATAAACATACAGCTGTAGTGTAGATTGGTACGGTTTACCTGAATATTCATTGTTGGTACACATTATTATGAGAGAAATATTAAGAG